TTTTATGAGATGATGCACTTTCCATGGGATGGTTTCCAGTGCCTGCTCCTTTTTCGGTGCCATTCTGCCTTACTGTAATCGCCTATGTCCTGCTTATCAAATGGATTCTCGAGTGGTGGGAGTGCGAAACATTTGTTATTAATGATACAATGATGTAATTAATGATAATGATATTTTGCAGGCGTAGGAAGGGGTCCGCCCACCCGCATACTGCCTTCTGGATGTAAATAATGCTACTGAATCACCTTCTTTTTTGTATAGGATTAAGACATGCCGTCTTATGCACCCATTCTGCCCAACGTCATTCCTTTTTTTCAGAAACGACCCTATTCATGCGATCCCATTCACTACCAAACCTCCAGATGCTGCAGATGTTCCGATCCAGTAATTCCCAGGAATATAGCGGTTCTTGAACCATCTGTTGTGCAGAGCTCCTTCACTTGAATGTTGGACCAACTTCTTAGCCCCGCAGTTTTTTTGGCAGCTTTTTCTACAATGCCATCGATTTCCTAGGCGAAACATCGAAGGGTGACCGAAAACAAGTTGTGTGTGACGTCGTACTGTTGTCGGGGAAAGAAAGCAGTGTTCGTCCACGAGGCACTGAGACTGAAGTTTTCATCGATTCGTTCAGATTTCTTTTTCCATTCTTGTTCTCTTTCTGGATAGCCCTGATTAGTTCTTTGACATTTCTATGACCCCCAATAAGTTGCCGCTCGAGGAGCAAGTTGGGCCAAACGAGTGTTTTTTCCTATTGCTCTAGAAGGTTAAGCTACCTAGCCCTAACACGATCCGTCAGCTACGTCGACAAGGAGAACACCCAAGAAAGCGGAAGGGATTCGCATTCCTTGCACTTTCGCGTTGAAAAGTGTAGAGGAAAGGGCGCCAAAGGCTTGGAAACCGGGGCCTCAAGTGGTAGCTAAGCGCAAAGTTGGCAAGGCAACCTAGTGATGAACCTGTAAGTTCCCTGTAACATAATGGCTTGCCCGTACATTTCGCAGCTTCGCAAACAGTTTAAGCGAATTACATCTAACAGTGCTAGCAGCAGAAAACAAACGAAAGAATGCCTCTGTTAGCCGCAGGACAATAGTCCCCGACCACGGCTTAGCAAAACCGCGGAAGAGCCGTTCAACCTATTTAACCCGACCATGGAGCGACTGGGAAAACCTGCTAATTTCGCACCAGCCATGAGCGCCAGTCAGTTCTTCATGGTTCGTTTGGTTTGCTAATTGCTTGGGAAGCTTGAGTCGTTATTACGAGATGTCAGTGTCAGTGATGAGGGCGCAATTGCACCAAGCCGCGCAAGAATCCAATTTTCACACTGTGGCATTGTCAATCATCGAGTCACTTCACCTTGCTCCACAGCAAAGTTGCTATCCGAGCAGTGCAGCGAAGGGTGAAGGGGACAAAAAAAACAGTGAAAAAACGAGTAGGAAAAGTGAGGAAATGAACGTAGGGGCCGTTGTGCACGTAGGCAGCCCACGTGCTTTCGTGATGTATATAAAGACGGGGAAACCCCTTCGGGACGCCCATTTGTTCGATCACTGATGAACGATCGGGACACCACGGCAGTTGGCGCTTCTTCAGGCGCATCTTTCGGTACTCAAGCTGTGTTCCACTCAATCCAATCAAGTCTTGAATCTTTCAGTTGACTGATAGAGATTTGTCCAGGAGGATGAAATACTGCCTATACACAGGGCACCTGCCGTTGGAAAGCGCTTCCGCATAATACGACCCCTCTCGCTGGGGATCCCAACGTGTGAGATCCCTGCTTATACTTCGGCTGACTACTCAAATCTTGGGCCAAATTCGTATTCAAGAGCCAGAGGGCGACTTCAAGAAGAACCAAAAAGTCTTCAAAATCAGTACCGCCGCCGAAGAACCACTGGATTGGAGAAAATGCCAACGATTATCAGGAAAAGAGGAAGCATGGCGGCGCGGAAAGGACTGCTAGGGAAGAAGCGAAGTAGAAGGATGCGAATCTATGGGTGATCCCAGAAGAGGGTTCGGTTCCGTCGTTAACTTTCATGCAGTCTTTGCCCATAACCTCCAACATCGCGGACGAGCACGTCCTGCCTGCCATTGAGGAGAATTTTTGCTAATTATGCCCCCCCCTCCTCAAAATATCCTTCTCTAATACGATGTCCGTCCGCCATACCTTTCAACTTCCTAAATTTTCCCAGTTTCTTAGCAATTCTCCTGCAGCATCCAGTTTTCCAATCTAATTCCAATTTTCTCCACAAAAAAACTAGGGGAGGGAAATGCGGAGGGGAGCTCCCCGATATCCTATTTCTCACTCGAGATTCCCAAAGCACCACGTGGTCTGCCCGCGTGCCTCCTCCACGTCACGACTTCGAAGGTAAATGACAAGGGTGCCAGGTGTCCATTTTGCTCTCCCCACCCACCCCATCAACGAGTAGCCGTTGCAATGCAAGGTAGGTGATTTATTACTTTACAGTTTCCAGCGCGTCTTGCACTGTTGATTGTTTATCTTTTCAGTACAAATTAGGACCAACTTTTTTCAGACTTTCCTCTCATTTTACAAGCTCAATGACGGGTGAAATATAAAAACTGAGCGCTAGAGGTCAAAAGTCTCGCCGCTTTTGGGGCGCGATTGTGTAAAAACAGTACTGCCGCTAGAATTGCGTCGATTCAAAATGGGAAAACAACTTTTTTCCTTTTCCTGTCGGTGTGCACTTTCCCTGCCCGTCATATCGCATTGAACAGTCGACCTTTTGCCAGCCCATAACCGTTCTATACTTTGTACTTTGAAGTTTCCTAGGTGTTACTTTTGTGATGGCACTTCAGTTTCTCGATGTTTTCTAGCTAGAACAACCTTTGTCAGCAATGTCTCAAGATAGGTTATCCGAACTGCAGCAGCAAATATCGCGCGACATGGTATGTAAAGTGGAATGTCAGACACTGATCGGTGCCATTCTCGTACCTTCTCAGATCACTTATCATCTTTATGAAATCACGCGACTAATAAATACTTTTCCGTTTCGCTCCATAACAAATTCATTTTACTACCTTGTTGATATCTAGCTAGGCATTCACATCCGTATATTTGAGCACTGATAACAACTATAGCGCCATAATTACTGCTTCAGTAGTCCCCATCTCCAAAGGCCAAGGTCATAGTGATGAGGAGATTGTAGTTGGCTTCAGCATGGACATGGCCATCCTCTATGGATCATTTCGCTCATCCTCGAAGGCAGACGATTATGCATTACGATAGAATACTTGAAAATCCGTATTTTCCCGAGGATGTTCCGTCCTTTCACCTCAAGAGCAAACTTCGCGATGCCAGCGAAAAGTTCGCAAGTAGCAAGGCCAGAAGCAAGTGTGTCTGCTAGCTGGCTTGCCCGCGAAGAAAAAGAAGAGGGCAAACTTCAACAAGCTCCAAACTCAATGGCCATAAGCTGCTGCCAAGCCGAGACACGTAGACTCTATGTGGATCGAGCAAGAGACCAGGCAAAAACGGCGAGAGAGCATGTAGACGAGTGAGACAGCCGATAAGGCATCTATCAACGAGGGCGGAGTCACTTGTGCTTTATCGGCGCTACTTCACCACTTCCTTAGGTGAGACTTATACAGATTTGTTCTTTGCACTCCCACACTACTCCCTACGGGAAAGAGATTAATTATTAAGTACCCTAAAATCCATAAGTGAAAGAGCGCGTCACATAGATAAGAAGCGGTTTGTGCTTAGAAAATGAAAATTGACGTTTGTATACGTTTTTTTGGCGTTGTGTGCTCATGATTATCGCAATAATAGCCTACAACAGAAATTAAGAAATAGAAAGAAAAAGAAGAAAGAAAAAGAAATACAGAAATTCCGTTAAAATCGCTATTTTTCTATATGAATTGTTTATTAAGTGGGCGGGGTTTAGAGTTGAGGGGCGGAGCTTCTTCTAAACTTCTTCTCCGATTTTTATTTATCCATCCATCAAGTTAGAGGGGTGACTGCATTCAATTTCAATTTCATTCCAATTCATTTTTCACCGGTAAATTAAACCGCTCTTATCTATGGGATTTTAGGTATAGTTGCTGTGCCTCCAATTGCGAAGCCGTGCCAATTCCTCTTGAGAATGATTCGTAACTGTGTCCAGCATCCACCTCCTTGAAGCAATGGCTCACCAAAAGCAAGTGCCCAGTCGACGGTACATTTGGTGATCCAATATTTCGAAGGGAAAAAAAAAAAAAAAGATTAGCCCTGTGTGGGGTCGCAAAGTAGGGACGCAAAGGACAAATGGGCACAAGTTTTCCATCAGGATGTTGTAAGATAAGGATGTGAGGGTGCAAGGTATTCAAGTTACTCCTCCTCAGCGCAAAGTGACTCCGCCCCGCTGGTATTTGTCGTGTCGTTTAGTCTTGTGTGCACTCTCGCTTAGTTTTATGCGATGTTGTGGGCCCGAATCCACTGGAATATTCCTCTTGCGCCTCAATGTAGGTAGTATTTCCGGTTGATTTCCTACGCCTATTTCTTCACTTATAATTTCAAACTAGCGCGTACGCTTTTCGTGTTTTTTCCCACGCTCATGGTTTTTCCACCGCAATACCTGCGACATTTTTGGCGGCTAATCACGAAACGTGCCGTCAGAGCAATCTATCAGTTGTTAACCCGCTTATAGGTGCATCATTTCCGTCTTATCAGTGCTCATTGAGCCCTCTCCCTTATCAGCATTTATCATTAACTCATAGCCCCTCTACAATCGATACCTTTGCAATCAACGACACAGCGCTCCTCATGGCCTATTAGGCATTGGAAGGATTGGATGAAGGTGTAGAGCTCGATGTCATCCAGCTCAATACTTGCCAAGACAACTCCCTGCAAAAATAGTGATGTTGAAGCCTAAGGAGATATGAAGCCTAGGTTCACGGGATTATTCTGAACCCAGTGATAAGATCACTATCGTAACAAGAAGGTAGAAGTTCCACTACTGAAGCACAATTGTAGCGCTGTACCAGTTTGCCAATGGGTAGTAAATATTATCATAAAAATGATAATGGAGGCGGAACAACGCGAACTGTTGGAACTTTCGGGAATCTTGTTGTAAGTTTTTGGCTTCTTGCGCCATAACCTCATAGAACTACAAATACCTTTGTTCGACATTCTCGAAACTGTTACTTCTATCACGAAATGTAAACGATTTCCCCTTTGGGAGGCTTATCACTTTCCTTATCACGCCTTCGACCCTGTCAATAATAACCGGACGACGTTCGACGCGGGCCTTTCACTGATGGAGGTTGACCTGTTGCTAGTTTTGTTGTTATTTTCATCTGTAGTGATTTAGTAAATATTACCATATTCACTGAATAACAAGACAATAATGAGGGCAGTTCGGCTTGGTGGGGGTACCAAATAGTACTCAGCGAAGCCGTATAGCCCACCTTGTGACGTGTTGTGAATTCTTGTACCCAAAGTGGATCTCCTCGACCAGTTTGCAGCTTCACAGTAGTTTACCTATTAATCCATATGATCTAGCATAGGAACGCACAGTGCCCCTCCCTATCCGTACAGCGCTCAGTAATATTTTGTGGAAGTAAGAACTTCATAATTCATGTTAGTGTTCAAGACAAATCAGGCTTCCAAAAAAATTCTCAGTAATTTCTCAGGAAAAAATTCCTTATTTCCTCGCTCTTCATGTGGGGCTAAGGCTTACTTTTTATAGAAGAAGTGAACCAATCAAGTTGAAGTTACTTTACTAGACCTATTGCCGTCCCCACGATGAAATATACCGCTTGTGGGTGGATGGTGATCTGACCACTCGGGAAACTTTCAAGACTCCCGGATTATTATGGGGCGCGAAATTTCACTTGTTATGGGGCGCGAAAACTTTCCCATCGCCATGGTATGGCATGCTCCCAGGTGTTCGCTTTTCTTTTCTAACGTTTTATGTGAGCACTAACATCTGGCCATTCATGCCCCCATCGAACGCAATTAATGTGCCTCCCAGACGGCCATAAGCTCTGAACCTGAGTGGATGTGACGGTGGTTTAGTACTGTGGCTCTCTCGTTTTCATCTGAAATTCCCCCCATAAACCATATAGCTCTTAACAAAGGCATTTCGGCGCAGGTTCTGGCTCTTCGGGTGGAGGGGGCATTCTACATTCTCCATCGACGTGGTCATTGCTTTACAAGAGTTAACAGGTATTGACAGGTACCCTTTATGAAATTTAGCAAGGAGTCTCTACAAGCTTTCACTGGTATCTTTTGAAGCTTCACAAGATTTCACAGGTCTCAGGTTTCACAGGTCTCTATTTGATGACTCGACTCGTTGAGGGGAAGTACACTAAAATCCCTGATATGCGGTAGGCGTGGCTGCGTCTTGGATTGAACGGCGCGGCCGGCTAAGTTTTATATTTTACCAGTCTGGCTGACGCGCACTACTGCGCGCATGGTTAAACCCATGGTACTACGATAACTGACAGGATTTGTCCTGAGCACCAACACTTAGCCTAATTCTCATGTTTCGAGGACGACCCATTTCATCATGTTTCTCCATTTTAATGAACATTTGCCAGTGTTTGGTGCCTATCATATTTCTAAAAGCACCATTCGTTGGGGATAGGACAGCATAGCGGTGGGAAGAATTTCGATGATAAAAAAGTCGAAATCATAGTGGTCTTATCATTCCTCACTGGCCAACAATTCCCTTTCCGGTGAAACTCGAGCGTTTAGCGGTGGAAGCAATTCCGACCGCTAAACTGAGGGATATTGCTAGGAATAGAAATTGGGCCACGATGATGTGAGCATATACGGAGTCCCAAAAGCGGTTGTCGGGCACTGACAGAATTTAACTCCCACCTTTAATATTCTCTGAGCACCCCTGAATTACTTGCTGGAGCAGTTCCACAGTGTTGCAACAACTCTGCTGTGAATTTTCGGGGTATCTTATTTTATCATGTCCTGCCACAAACCAATAATGGTCCCATCCTGCCCCACATATTCTATGCCTCTTGAAACCGATGTCCCGTTGTGCTGTTCGACGTTGTGAGTTAGGTGTCCCTACCCTTCTAAGGCTCCTTATGGTATCTTATCAGCTGTTATCAATTCCTGCCACCCACCAATAATGTTCCCATCCTGCCCCCTATCTTACTACTTGTATCCAACGTCCGGTCATTGCTCTGGCCGGTGTTATGAATTAGGTAACCCACTCTTTCTGAGGCTCCTTATGGTATCTTATCAGCTGTTATCAATTCCTGCCACCCACCAATAATGTTCCCATCCTGCCCCCTACCTTACTACTTGTATCCAACGTCCGGTCATTGCTCTGGCCGGTGTTATGAATTAGGTAACCCACTCTCTTTAAGGCTCCTCATGGTATCTTATCAGCGGTTATCATTCCTGCCACCCACCAATAATGTTCCCATCCTGCCCCCTATCTTACTACTTGTATCCAACGTCCGGTCGTTGCTCTGGCCGGTGTTATGAATTAGGTAACCCACTCTTTCTGAGGCTCCTTATGGTATCTTAACTCTCTTTATCAGTTCCTGCCACCCACCAATAATGTTCCCATCCTGCCCCCTACCTTACTACTTGTATCCAACGTCCGGTCATTGCTCTGGCCGGTGTTATGAATTAGGTAACCCACTCTTTCTGAGGCTCCTTATGGTATCTTATCAGCTGTTATCAGTTCCTGCCACCCACCAATAATGTTCCCATCCTGCCCCCTACCTTACTACTTGTATCCAACGTCCGGTCATTGCTCTGGCCGGTGTTATGAATTAGGTAACCCACTCTTTCTGAGGCTCCTTATGGTATCTTATCAGCTGTTATCAATTCCTGCCACCCACCAATAATGTTCCCATCCTGCCCCCTACCTTACTTCCTGGAACCAAGGTCTCATCGTTGCTGTGGCCCGCGCTATGAATTTGGTGATCCTCCCCTTATAAGGCTGCTCGCGGTATCTTATCAGCTCTTATCACTTCCTGCCACCCACCAATAGTGTTCCTGCACGACCCCCTACATGACTTATCAGTTTGAGCGCTCTGTCACTCTTTTGAAGGAAGTTATGAATTTCCGGTCAAACACAGCATACATACAACACACACACACACACACACCAACAGACAAACATAGCGGATTATATATAGTAGGATCCTACTATATATAATCCGCTAAGTTTGTCTGTTGGTGTGTGTGTGTGTGTGAATGTTGTGTGTGCTCTCGTCTGTAGGGTGTGTTTGACCGGAAATTCATAACTTTCTTCAAAATAGCGATAAAGCGCTCAAATTCATAAGTGATGTAGGGGGTCGGGCAGGAAACATTTATTGGTGGGTGGCAGAAGAGATAAGAGCAGATAAGGATTACCTATACGGGACTTAGTAAGGGGCATGGCACCAACTTTCATAACGCGCGTCATTAGCAAGGCTAGGAGCGTTGGCTCCGAGAAGTAAGATTAGGGGGGCAGGATCGGCGAACATATTGTCGGGGCTGGCAGGAAGTGAAAGAGCTCAGATAAGATACCATACCGGGGCTTAGAAGGGGAGGGTCACCAACTTCATAACGCGCGTCATAGCAAGGCTAGAGCGTTGGCTCCAAGAAGTAAGATAGGGGGCAGGATGGGAACATTATTGGTGGGTGGCAGGAAGTGATAACAGCTGATAAGATACCATAAGGAGCCTTAAAAAGAGTGAGTTACCTGATTCATAACACCGGCCACAGCAGCCGTGGGACGTTGGATCCAAGTAGTAAGATAGGGGGCAGGAGGGCGAGATTAATGGTGGGTGCAGGACGTATAAGCTGACAAGTTTCCGGAGCGACCGCTTTTCGAAAGAAGGCTGCCCCGAATGCTTTAGCACGGTATTAGCAACACTTCCTTACTGTGCTCCAGCCTGAATTCAGCACGCTACCCAATGGTTCAGAGCTGTAGTTCAATTCCATCCCTTACAATTTTTGATGATATGGTTGGACTGATTCGACCGCTAAGCTCTCGAGTTTCGACGTAAATTCAAAGCCCTGGAAGCTGTTCAACGAAGTACAAGGATGTGAGAAATGTGAGGATATTTCACTATGATATCGATGTTATTACCATCGAAAGTCTTTCACCGCTAAGCTGTCCTATTTCCAACGGATGGTGAGTGTTTCTTAGAAATGTGATAAGCACCAGGCATTAGCAAATGTTCATTAAACAGGAGAAACATAATGAAATGGGCGTAATCCAAAAAACTGTATCGGGCCAAATTGTTTGGGGCGATACAGTCAGGCGATCGCAGTACCGCATTACCCATAGATTCAACATGCGCAGTAGTGCGCGTCAGCCAAGCTGCTTATTATTATATTGAGATATTTTGATTGCGGAACGGTTGTAATCGTGTCTTTGTACAATGACAGCTGCCGCAAACTGAAATATCCCACGAGTAACCGACCTTAAGCCATGCTTGAATGCCACGCCTACTCCACCAGGGATAAGGGGTGTAGGAAAATTGCAAAATGGCTTCTCTCCCACCCCCAACCTGACCTGTGGCACACGCTATCGGGGCCCCAGCTGGCACCCCGCGGCAGCGCATCACACAGGCACCGGCCGCCCGCCCCACGCAGTCCTCGCGCCGCGGACACATCCCAGCCATACAAACCGCGCAACCCCGGCGCACACATCCTTCACCGCAGGATTTCAGTTAAAACGTTTTGCTAGTGCATTCCCGTTGACTCCGCGTTTTCTATTTTGATTCAGTGAGGTCTCAGAGGTGTTCTGATGTCATCTGGGTACTTTCATTCACTGAGATAGGAGAAAGCAATCAGCTAACTGCTATCACAAGCCTCATTTCAATTAAGATTAACCCTCCCCTTTCATCCCGGGTTTCGTGCTCCATTACCTTTTTGCTCCTTCTAGCATCGCATTTATTGTTTGTTTGTCGAATTTTCCGACAATAAAAAACAGCGCTTATCCCCAAGGAGGGTGAATTTGAATGATTTTCCTTGGGCTAAAATGAGATTATCACCATGAAAAACCCTTGTTGCGCAACGAGCTTAATTCGCACACCCTGAAGCCCTTTCCTCGCTGGCTTATGCAAAAATGCTCATTCTTCACTGCGCCTGAAAACCTTGTGAAAAATTCTTGCACAGCCTCATTATCAGAATGCTCAAGGTTTCCACGGAACTGATGATTATTATTTCACATCTTTAGCTATCCTATAGTTCTCAGAGATGGCAAGTTAAATTTTACTTTAATTAAGCGGCTTCAACCCGAGTATGGGGGAGCGGGGTACGAGCGGCGGGAAGAGGAAAGGTAGTATAGTAGGATCAGCATGTGGTGGCAACCTTGCACCAGTTTCGGGTCAAAAAGCTAGTAAGTAGAGCGTCAAGAGACTGATGAGGGTATATCCCCTCAGTAGTGAATAGAAAAAAAGCAACCCGCCGAAAATGCCCCATATAGAACCCCGTGCTGATCCGCACTTGGACATGTATAAGGCGAAGAAGGGGCGCGGTCAAGCGAGTTCTCATCTGTTAGAGCCTGCTTATTCTCCTTATCACCTCACTCTCTCCATTCGAAATGGAGTGGAACAACCGCACTATCAGGTAACAATGAAAAGTGAAAAGTTGAGTGTTACCGCGGCCAGTGGGCGGAACGCGGCTTCGTTGCGAGTGGGTGGCGCTTTCGTCACATATTTTACTCCATATCTGCAGTCAGGACAATCATGTCCGAAGAACAAGGTGCCTTCAAGGTTGCCCAAGTGTTCCACTTCGTGTACGGCTCTCCCTTCTTGTACTTCGTCGTCTTTCCAAACTGTGTGCTCTCTCACCCCTCCTGTCTGGTTCCTAACCCTGAATCCTAACAGATCTTCTCTTCTCTCTTATGGATAGAATCAACCTTAGTTAGGACGTTTTGATGGTTTTCTGTTTTTTTTTCACAGGTGAGTCAAACAGGACACGCTTTTTGTCTTTCCGTCCTTCTGCTTACACTGCATAAGCCCCGAAATTCCTAGGTTTACAGGTAGGGGAGTCAGTCAGGACTCACAATGCTGACCAGCGCTCACGCTGTGTGTGTAGGGGGGGGGAAGGACCAGTTGGTCACACTGTGTAACTTCCCTCGAAAAAAAACCTTTGGCTTGGCCAGTTTCGCCTAGAGATAGTCCCGCAGAAAGGTTGTTTTGGTTAACTTGCTCAGAAGAAGCAATACTTGGGCGCTGGCGAGTAATCCTCACAACAGCAACGCTAGCGCCCGAAAACCTAACGGTCCAGCCATTGGACGAGTTATCTCACTTGATAGTCATGCACCACAACCTGTCGGAACACTAAACGGTAATGTAACTGCCATAAACAACCGTCTCCTCGAATAACGTAAAGGGACAGGGGTCCTTGGTCCCGCAACGATTGGATGGTTATCACAGAAAACTCGTCCTTGACTTTTTGTGGTGTAGATTTAGGGACGAGTAGTGTTATGCAGCTAGTCATACCCTATCCGTCTCAGGGCACTTGTCAACCGAGAAGCCTCTCCTCTCTTTCCTTTTTTCTTCCTCCCTCCTTCTTTTCCTTCCTTCCTTCTCTGATCCCTCCTTTACCTTCTCCTTCAACTACTGGACTGGTAGATGCCTCGTGAAAATAACCCTGGACCCTCGCAGCGAGAGCACGTCTGGTTGACAACAGCCCCGTAACCGATTTTTTATGAAGGCACTGTGGGTTTACCGAAAATGGTTTTTAGGTCAAATGGGTTGGTTAGGTGGTAGGTTGGCCATAGCGCTAGGATATCAATTAATGACCTGCACTTTTAGTCTTTTTTGCCGAGCGCAGGTTCAATTTTCGCAGCCATTCGCGAGTGTTCGATGAGTGGTTGTAAGTGCGCCCACAGGTTTCTTTGTCCTGTTCTCGAGACGGCCTCATTTATTCCTTGTTCAGGCTTTTCCGCGCAAGATCCCCGTGGTGCGGGACATGACAAGCGTCGGTCGAAAATCGGTGGCCTGGGCTGTTTTAAGTGGCCAGATGGCGTTGTTTGGTAAACTTCTTTAAAACAGTCGCCCTGTTGGCTGAGCTCTCTCAAAAAGGGTTACTCGATTACTCATGCGGGTGAGTTGCACCCGGGCCGGCTGTCTCGGTTTCTCTCATGCTGTTGTCCAAGTCTGGCGCCACTCACATGTCGATCGAGTATTATATCTTGCTCCAATGACTGCCCAGCGTTCATTCTCGATTAGATAATGCCCAGAAAGATGACTTTCATCCGTTGGTTTTTGCCGCTTTTCTGTCGCTTTTCCGTTCCGAGCTAACGACGTCATAAGGGCGTATCGACAGCTCAAGACCTGGGACGAGATTTTAGTTGGTCGTCGTCCTCATAAGACACGTATTCCCTAAAACTTCCATTCTATGCTCTTCAGGCTTGTCTTTCTTGGCTCTTCATATCCCAGTAGGCTCAAAATATCATCTTGTCATATTCGCAGAACCCCTGTTTTTGAAATCGAGACCAGTATGCTTGCGTAAATTTCTTCCCAGATCTTCATCGATTGCAATGTTTCCTTGAGGGAAAGCATTTTTTCTGGACTGTCGCTGTGTGGACTTTGGATCTCTTGGGTTGTGGGTTTGGGCGCTATTGACGTAATAGTGGGTAACCTTGTTTAAACTCTGTTCAAATTTGCTGGGCCCATCCTGGCACAACCCCTGTAAAAACACAAATGGATAGGAGCTCCATCTTTCGTGTATACCATCTTCTCCGATTTCTTCTTTGCTGGCGGCATCTATATCGGAAAGGTGCAAAGAATTCTGACTGGCAAGAAGCACAAAAGGTGAGAATTTTGTACAACAGCCGCTGTGAAAAACTAATCCTATTATGAGCATCGGTTGGAGTTTTCCAAAAACTACAGTACCTGTTTTCGTTGCGGGACACGTGAGACTCTGACTTTCGTGAGGCTCTTCCGGTTCTTTGGTAGCTGTTTCAAACAGGCGTTCTTCTGCGTGAGAGGTGTTTTCAGCGCAGGAGGAAGGGTTGACAGGAGTTGGAGGACTACAACAGTTACCCTCAGGTTGGGACAGGCGAACAAATTACCACCTGACTACTCTAGGTTTTAACCCGGCTCTCTTTTCATCCCAATCTGGCCCAGCTTTCTAGATTGATTTTGATTTTCCTGACATTTTCCAAGGTTGATTTTTTTTTCTTGTGAGTTGTCGAACGCCGTGGAAATATATCGATTATTACGCTTCACTAGTGCCCTGCCTCATTTTGTAGTTTTTAGGCCAAATGCGTCTCACATATCGGACATTAGGCCCATTGTCGGTGCCATCTTGCTAAGAAGCTCGAAACATTAAAGGTTAATTCCTTTGTGATGATTCTGTGTGATATCTACTTATTTATTTATTTTGATTTTTTTTGTACATGGTGAGCACAAGATCCAAGGTACAAAATCCCTCACTTTCAGCCAGTTCCAACCATCATCGCTTTCCATACAGCAATATCTGGATTTTGGCCGAATTGGTACCGCTGCCACATCATACACATTTTTGAAGAATGAACTTATGGTGCGGCTCGCCAATATTATGCAGGTTCGGCTCCGTGGAACCATTCTAATTCCACCCTCTACTTCCTCTTCTTACGAATGAAAATTAACAAAATCTCATTTATTAAGGAGTTTTCTTTACTGCCTCCTAAATTACTACAAATGCCGAGTTCTAAACTGGTCAGCAGTTGGTATTGCGAAAGTTTCGAGGACCTGTTGAAGTATGAGAGTGCTGCTGCATCAACGGAAAATATAGAGGCGTATGTTTTCATTCTTTCAGAGAAAAAAGTTATTGGAAAATTCGCTTTTTGACCATTGTAATTGTCCTGATCAACACCAGCTGCGATAACATTACATTCCACTGGGGTTTTTCATGCATTCCAGAGCCTATCATTATAATTCATCTGTAATCTATCCGGTGTTCTGCACTTCTGGGCAACTTCTCGATAGGGGCACAAGTCAGCCAAGGGGTTGTTGAGTTATGTCACCCTGCCTGGCCTTTTGCTGCAGACGTGCCGGCTCTTGTAAAGCTACAAAATTTCACGTGCTTCATTTCCACGCAATTTCTTCGCTGTTGTTGAGCGTCATTTGGTGCAGTAAGATGCGTTCATAGTTTGCGTCTGCGTATCGAACGACTCAAAAAGTATATAATCGGCTCAGCGTTTCGAGTATCCACCAGCGTCTTTAGCCACTAAGAAAGTATAGGTATCGATTGTCACTAAAAACGCTGGCGTTCGCTCAAGACGCTGGATCGATATCCATACTTTCTTAGTCAACCTTAGCGCTCTAGACGCTGACAGACGCTCGAAACGCTGCTGCAAGTATGACTGCGAAGTATGACTGACAGTAAACTGCGACGAAACGGCTCTGATATGAGTGATGAGGTTTATACATAAATCCAAGAGGAAAGAGCTACGCGGTGTGTGGACCATTTACTTGGCGTAGCGGTATCTTATTCGGTAGTACTATTTCACAGCTTCATAGAAGCTCGAAAGACTCTACAAACCTGGCCGATATGTTAAATGGGGTTTATGCAATGCCCCCACCCCCTCTCAGCAAATTTGTGCCGTTCTGTCCTTGAGTATGTGGTGTCTTTTTTTTGCTACTCTGTTCAATAGAGAAGAACATGTGTCTTTTGAAAGTGGTTCTCAGGGAAAATTGGC